GTACTTTGTTCACGAGACGTTGTTTTTTTCGACTTGTTTAAGCCGTGGCGAGTCATGATATTATTTACTTGCCAACCTTAGGATATTATACTACTGCATCATACGTCACGGCGTGCGGATTGTTGGGCTACCTATGGTATGTCATTGAGTAAAAACGCGTAAGCTGGCTACATTTGAAATTTCTTTTTAACGAAACTGCAATGAATGGCGCCAGCACTCATTTTTATACGCCAGAATACGAATCGTACATGCACGATTAATCGTAGCGTGTAAATTAACGTAGCTTTAATGTTTTCCTATGTCCCAGCTTTCTATATTATCATATACTTGTTTAGGTCGCTGGTGGTATGACAAGTCATCTAGTAACATACGCGTATTGTCAAGCATTTAATGATTTATTGGACAATATTAAAGTGATTCAATATCTTTTTGAAAAAGCAGTACGAGGAGACAGACAGAAAGACATGACCAAAGGTAAAAACTAATGTTTCAAATATTTTAAAAATAGACTTTTAAATGTTTTGGTTTTAGTTATAAACGCATGACTACGAGCATGCAGGTCTATGTTCGTAATGTTATTGCTGATGGTCATTTTCATTTTTAGAGGAGTTTACAAAAGTAGCACGAAAACATTTTTTGGTGAGTGCATCGTACAACTATATACAGTATAATTACAAACGGATTTGGCGTTCGTGCACTAATTTGACACAGTATACATATACTGTACAGGCTGAAATTTTAATATATAATCACATTTTTATGCTGTCTATTTATGCATTTTAAATGACAGGTGCGTAGGTTGTACACTAATGCTCATTGCATGCCATCCACGTTTCAATACTATAATGAACAGCACCCGAACAAGCCACACTGCTAAAGGCTGCGCGGTGTTTGGTAAGAGTCAAAATGGATGTCAGGACTCAGGAGTGGGAAAAATAGTCGCAGGAAATGTTAAACAGCTGCTGGAATTTTTTCATATTAAAATTTTGAAAATTTGAAAGAAACCCTTAATTTACACTTAATGTTCCGCCAACTTATGGTTCACAGACATCATTCCCTGAATTTAAAAGTATGGTCAACTAGGACACTGTGTTTAGCCACAGATACTGTAGTACCACAAAGATTATTTAGGAGAATAAGGCGAGAGTATAAACGTCGATCAACAGCAAATTAATGCTGTTGTTTAAAGAAAAATTTAGGAGATTAATTAAGACGATACTATAAACCCAGGTCACACTACACAACGATAACGATGCGATAACTTGTATACGCGCGCTGATTGGTCAAAAATTTATCGTTATCGTTCGACTGAAAAAAAATTCGCTCGGGTGAGCGATTTTAAAATCGTTATCGTCAAACGATAACTTTATCATTTTCTTTGTGGTGTGGACACCAACATAATTTCTTTGCCAATCGTCGCGTGTTTACAAGTTGTCGTATCGTTATCGTTGTGTATACAACTGCAGTGTGACCGGGCCTTAAGGCGAGAATATACTGTAAACATTAAACAACGGAACTCTCAATTTCTGCAGAAGCGTTCTGGTGTGACCTGCTCTTGCTCTACTTCTAATTATAGTCGAGTTTCTGTATTTTCTGCTTACTAGATAAATCCATTGCAAATCGATATTTTGTTTCACCTGTGTGGTTTAAGGCATGGCACTGGGTAAGTTTCTTAGTTTATTTTGATGACATGACTGTTATAGCAAGTGATGAAAGAGTAATGCATTGTAGCTTGCACAACCGAAATCTTTTGACATGCAAACTAGTCAAGTAGCCCCTACGGTTTTGACCTATATTATCGTACATCCAACAAGGGACCAACCAGCGCTTGCATGTTTACACTTTAATTCCTTCTACAGTAAAGCATTCAGAGCGCGTCAAAACGGGTTTGGAAAGAGATGACTGTACAGTATATCTTCCAAAAGAGTATCTCCCTCTTTTTTGGCGGTGACGTGGCTAAGTTGCTTTTTGTAAACAAACGAAAGCATCCCAAGCGATTGAAAGCATCTCCCCTGCTTATAATTGCGTCATTGTTAAGACCCGCGAAAAAGAAAGTAGTACAGTATAAGAAAAATATAAATTATAGTATTTATTTCCACTAACCTTTCAGTGGTTTGGTGGTATACAGTTTCCGGCTACTACACACATACAGTATATGTTCAGGTTAGATTCCTGGTAAGACCGTTTTATCACAGGTTTTATTTACATTTTTAAAACTAGAACTTTAAACAGGCCTCCGTTAGAGTAGGGGTTGGGTTTAAGATTGTTAGGGTAGGCTATATGGGCATCGGGACGCCCCCAACTGCTTGGGATGCTTTCATTTGATTGCGGAAAGGAATTGCGGTGGGGGCTTATTTTCCATGCTGTGGTTCTGTACTGGGGGGCTTCTTAGAAGTGGGGCCTAAAAAGAGGCTGGGGCTAAATCAATTTTCACGTTTTCTTTGTTATCTTAAAAAAAATTACAGAATCATCATCATTTATTTATTTATTCAACTTCGCCAGGTAAAATTACACGAATGCATGACATGCATACAATACAAATGCAATATTATACAGTAGTTTTTCAAGTGACGAATGGCGGGGACACCAAACAGTTAAAACCAATTATACTGTGGGCCATTATTAGTATATATTTGGAGAAGTTTCCATACAATTTACAATTATTTAGTCAAATCAGTAAACGCTACCTACATAGCACATTATATGATTGAACATTTAAAGGAGACACGTTGAGATTTCGGCTTCTGAAGTCAATATATACTGTAAGTAACTGTTGAAACATTGGCTCATCCATGGTTGTAATTTTCTCAGGGATTGCAATATTACATTTGTTTATTAAGCTAGAGAGGCGAGCGGAAACATGTCTGATGTAGGATTTTGTTTTTACCAGTCGTATTTCCTTGCTTGATTTGGATCACATTATTCCCAAACCTAATGTCTTCAAAGTTTATTCGGCGGAAAATCATCAGGTATTTATCATACTTGTTACATATATTCATGAGTTTATTCACGTTTTATACTGTAGATTCACTCGTGTATTCTCTACTGGATGTGTTCTCTCATTTTCTCTTGCTTTACTAGTTCACTCAGCACTCGTATTTTCCTCAAGAGAACGAGAAAGAGAAGCATAGAGCATATTATTTGCAAGGTTTAGAACATTTGTATCGCTTTGTTGTGGGTGGAATTGGTGGAGGTAAGCCGTTCTGTACAATATCTCATCATTAAGCCACAACGACGTCATATACTGACACAATCACAAAGTGTAGTTAACCGCATCAAAGTAACGACCATATACAGTAAGATATAGGCAACACTATTTTTCCGAACAATTTATGGAACGAATTAAATAACACAGTTCCACTTTGCTTCTACGTGAGAGTGGTGCGTGTCTTATCCGATACCATAAACGCTATAAACGTCCCTTGCATTATTATATGTGCTTGTAATACTTTTATTTTATTTTTTATTTTATAAGATTCGCCAAACATAACAGACATAAATAAAGACTAATACTTTACAAAATTTATACATACAATTCGGGCAGGGACTAACCACAGAGATAATAGTGCTGTGCGCCGGAGTTCTGCCGGAGCTCCGGCGGTTTTTCCGACGCCGGAGCCGGAGCAGAATTTTGTATGCCGGAGCCGGAGTTACGTTTTCCCAGCTCCGGCAAAATGACAAGAAAACAACATGAAATGAGACAAATGTCAAACAATTGTTAGTTACTGCAAACTGCCAATTGCTGTTAATGAATTCATCATAGGCTCAAACTGCCACAGCCCACAGGAACAGCGTCGAAAAGCTGTAATACGATCGCAACTTGCAAACGTCATGCTTTCATGAAGCCATCTGACTTAGCGCTACATACTGTAGTCTGTGTATTCATGCCTTGTAGATAACGAAAAAGTACAAAACAAATAAATATCAACCTTTTGAAAATGACAGAGTACTTTGTTTGCGTGCGAACAATTGCGCTGTGGAGTCTGAGAGTGTTAGCGTCATGCCTCGCATCATGCCTCGTGTCAAAGATTTTTCGAGGCTGGTTTCCATATAGATATTTTCTGCGTGGTTAAGTGTTTTCACTGTTTTGTTTCCTGAGTTATGTTATCTGATAATTAGGAAGCGCGAAAAGGGTTATTTATAATAATATTAATAAATGTTCTCTGATTGTAAAACACTTATTTAATATTATATGATGTGGCCGGAGCCGGAGCTCAGAGCTGTAATTCGGCCGGAGCCGGAGCCGGAGATGAAAAACCGGAGTTTGCACAGCACTAAGAGATAATCTCCAATTATGGGGTCCCTTACAATAAGTTACAATATACCGGTATATATACATTAAAAACAACTTATGCTAAAATGTCAAAAACATGTCCTCACTATAATAAGCTATCAAGAGACCAAGTTGAATGGCATTTGACGCACACTGACTTAAATGTTCTAGGATTGTCCGGGTTGTGCCAATACCAGACTGGGAGAATACCAATAGCCCGCGTAGTCGTTCCCTGTATGTTGTGGCAGTTCTGTAAGGAAGGGAAAGGATGACGCGACGTTGAGCACATTCTATTAACAGTATGTCGGTGACAGGTTGAGGTGCCCACACCTGGCTGACATATCCTAACTTGCTGCGCACTGAGGACAGGTACAAGACCTTTCGCACGTGGATGTTATGCGTGTCGGAGGCTGTTCAATTAATGAAGCCTAGCATTGAGCTCGCTTTTGATGTTATTTGTTCAACCTGTTTCGTCCACTTGAGATCTTTTGTGACAACAATCCCAAGGTCTTTTTGATGACATAATTGCTTCAGAGGACTATCCAGTATAGTTTATATTCTATTGTGACTGGTTGGCAACTTCTTGTGAAGCTCAATACTCCGCATTTAGATGTATTTAAGTCCATCTTCCAGGTAGTACACCATGCAATTTACGAGATTATTCAGATCATTCTGCAGACCTTCGCAATCGGGTAAATCTTTCACTAGACGGTAGCACTTGGTATCGTCTGCAAACATTGCCACAGTTGATTCACCCAAGATGGAATGTGGAAGATCGTTCACATATACTAGGAAAAGGAGGGCCCCCAAGATTGATCTATGAGGAACTCCAGACAATACAGGTAGTGTACCCGAGGTCTTAGCCAGAACAGTGACTCTTTGGTAGCGGTCAGAGAGATAATTTTCAAAACAACAGTAGGTCACCTCTTATTCCAAACTTGTGAAGTTTAGCCAACAAAAGCTTATGACTAACCTTGTCAAACGCTTTTGCAAAGTCCAGATACACAGCGTCAACTTAATTGGTTTCGACTGTGTGCGGAGTTCCGCAGGGATCAATTCTTGGCCCCTTGCTGTTTTTATTATATATTAATGATTTACCCGAATGCCTCGAAAAAACTTCGCCACACCTATACGCTGATGATACTCAAATTTCTACTTCTGCCAAAACTATTGAGGAACTTACTGAAAATCTAAATAATGACCTGAAAAAAGTCGGTGAGTGGCTTGCTCGAAATAAACTGCAACACCACCCAACTAAGACCAAATTAATGTATATCGGTTCAAAGTATAATACTGATACTATGACTTATGATATTCCAGTAATGATGAATAACCAATTCATAACTCTTGCTCATTCATACACATGCCTTGGGGTTAAACTTGATGAAAACCTTAATTGGCATGAGCATGCATGTTGAAATGATTTGTAAGAAAGTTGGGGCCGGCATAGGAGCAATGCAACGAATTAAGCCATATGTTCCTATAAATACCCTGCATACCATTTACAGAGCTTTGATAGAACCGTATTTTGATTATTGTAGTCCATTATGGGACGTCTGTAACCAACAGCTGAAAGATAAGCTTCAAAAGTTCCAAAACCGTGCAGCGAGAATTATAACCGGCGCCAGCTATGAAATAAGGTCTGCTGATGTTCTTCGATCCCTTGCTTGGGAAAATTTAGAGATAAGACAACGTACAACTAAATCCACATTAATGTATAAAGTCCTGAATGATTGCGCTGGGCCGAACTTGAAGGATGCTCTAACGAGAAGGGACCTTGTTCAAACCAGTTAATCATATGTAAACTATACAATTAGTGAAAGACTAACATTCCATAATGTAAAAATAACAAATAAGCATTTATAATTTTGTCCTATAAGATAAGGGTTATGTATGTATATATAAAATTAGCATATACTCGGGAGTTGTGTAGTGCTTTTCAAGCAATTTGATTGGTTGCTCAGCCCCGCATATCCTTGCACTATTCACCACGGGAAAAAAACAAAATGGCTTCCCGTTTCGTTCCGGTTACAGACAAGAAGATGTTTTTACTAAACCGAGCGGCCGTTTCGAAAGCCACAACGTTTTGTTCAACAGTGTGTAGAGGTATCCTTCAAAGCTACAATGAATAAAAGTACTAAAAGCTTGCAAATACTGTTTTGGTTACAACATCGTTTACAACTATTACGGGAGCTGAAATACAATTTGTTTTAAAAATATTTTCTTTGTTTTTTGGTCATTTTTGTTTTGTTGTGGTAGATGCTAAAACAATTATTCACCTCAGTGTCGGTGAATAGTCAATAGTGCAAGGATATTCACATCAACGCTTCGCGTTTCAGTCCGAGCGCTTGTGAATAATGGTAGGTTTATATTAGTATGGCATATATGCATTGAGAGGTTTGCTCGAAAGGCGCCTCTATATGTTATATCTGTAGGATAGTTTTACATTTATAATAACAAGGCCAGTAAATCTGTTAGTTCGCTTTTTGTGAAAATGTAAGGCGAGAATTTTTTATTCATTGGTTTACGGATCCGCCGACCCTAAGTATTCAGAAAGTAAGAATTATAAAAATTTTGAATGTCTAATAATTCTACGATTTTAGTTAATTTGGGGTTCTGCGGATATGAAGTACACACACGCCAAGTAAACTTTGTCACTTTGACTCTAAGTACACTGGTGGCTCATGTTATCGTTGTGACAATCAATATGGAGATTAGCCATGTTTTTCCAAGTAGAAGTTATTAAATGTTTAGAAGATAAAAACATTGATTTTAGATGTACTCAGTGTGTTTTTAAAAAATTTTCCCGACCGACCGACCTGTTTTTTTTTTTAAATGTCAAATCCGTAAACCAATAAATAAAAAACATCTCACCTAAGTTAGTGGATCTGGTAATGATAAAGCGACGTAAGGTGCTAAGGGTATGTTCTTTGTGTTAAGCCACTGGAGTTACTGCTGTGTACCCAATCGATCTTGTTAAAACAAGGATGCAGAACCAGCGAGCTGTTGGCGCTGAAGACAGATTATACAAGAACAGTTTTGATTGCTTTTTTAAAGTGCTTCGAAATGAGGGATTCAGGGGCTTGTATAGAGGTATGATGCTCTTTACCTAATAACAGGTCACGTTAGACCTTTATTGACTCATGTACACGTTAAATACTTTTGTAGCCATTTGTTCTTTACAAGCATCTAAAGAATATAATTATGAAAATGTTACTGTAAGTCATAATGAGTTTTAGTTGTCATTGTCGTCGGCTGTGGCGGTGTGCTGGTATTGTTTACTTTTCTTGTCTTGTTCTTTGTTAATGTTAATGTTAATGTTAATGTTAATGTTAATGTTAATGTTAAAGGATTAGTGTCAGGGTCATGCATTGCGGGCTTTTGTTATTGTTTACATTTTACTCAAATACAACAAATAGCGATAAAAATACCTTGTTTGGTACATTTCTGATAAAAATTAGACAAAAAGAGCAAGGATTAGAAAAGGATCTTTTAAATATATGACGGATTGTAAAAACTTTCCAGATCATCTAATCTATTCGTCCCGAAAAATGGCCACCAGTAGGAGTTTGAGCCCGCGAATTCCTGGTGTGACACTAATCCTTTAATGTTATTGTTATTGTTGTGTAATAAGTGATGTTACTGTTGTTATATATTATAGTTGCGGTTGTAAATTCGCTGTTACTGTTGTTGATGTACTCTATGTTGCTGTTATATGTTTTTTTGTTGTATGATGTTCTATGATGTTTTATGTTGTTGTATGTTGTTGTTGTTGTTGTTGTTGTTGTTGTTGTTGTTGTTGTTGTTGTTGTTGTTGTTGTTGTTGTTGTTGTTGTTGTTGTTGTTGTTGTTGTTGTACATGATGATCATTACAGTACAGGTATATGTTGTTTATCCGCGGGCGTGATGCATGTATTTTTATTTATTTTAGGTATAATACCACAATTAATTGGTGTGTCTCCTGAGAAAGCAATCAAATTATCTGTAAATGAAATATTTTTGTAATTTTTTTTTTTTGGGGGGGGGGGTTGGGGGAGGCATTGAAATCTTTAACTTCTCTCTAACTACAATAATGGTTTATTTCTATTCTTTATTTCTTGCTGTTTTTCTAGACGAACGATTTTGTGAGAGACAGAATGAAAACCGAGGATGGTTTTATCTCGATCAGTGCTGAAATTGTCGCCGGTGGTTGTGTATGTATTCTATTTTAATAGGGATATAGTGAACCACTTCAGAACATTACTACAATTAACGTACCATTATACACTCACTGTCAGGCTTCTAGGTCTGGACTATTCTTTAATTCCTTTTAAATAGTATTAAATTACGCATTTTTTATTTTCATATGAGTGAAATTAGCTGTGTGTCCGAACAGGGTTCGAATCATGGATACAATGTAGATTTGTATTTTGGAATCCTTAGTAATTGTATATTTTATGAAAATTGTTCAATTTCTTATATACCATTAAGGATTTGGGATTGGCTATATGCAGGACAAACAATGTGTGGTAAAAATGAAAAAAATAAAGACTAAAGCATTCTTAAGAGGCTGTCTCCGTAAAAACCTCCAGGTCGATATGGGGCTCAAAAATAGATTTCTCTCATATTCTAGTATTTTGAAGATCTATCCTTGGGAACAACTAAAATCGATGTCATTTTACTCAAATTTCCTTTAAATTATTTTGGGGGGCGATTGATGTTCGATCGACTGGTAACCAACTTGATACTCCGAATGAAGGCCAAATATCGACATATTTTCAGCGCTATTTTTTAAATCAAATTCATTCCTATATTTCAAAATGTTTGATCAGAAATATAGACTTATCCTTCTATTTTCGCGGGTGATATGACTTAGATCATTATTCTTTGGTATAAAATAGAAAACAGCGCAGTTATTGACCCTCCTGAACGGATAAAGGATATCATCTCAAAATATGTCAACTTCGAAAGCTTATTTCAAAATCGTGGCACTTGATTGGCACATGACTTTAACTTTTCTATAAACTACTAACATTAGTCAACACAAATCGCCAATAATATCTTTCTGATCTACCATTTGACAAAAATAACAAGCGCGCAAACTTTGTAAAATTTGAAAATGTGTCGAAATCGAGCATACTTTATCGGTAAACATAATTATTGATATTAACAGATAAAATCACATTACACTACACTGAATGAAGCTTGATTATGTAAATATATGTCTTTCATCATTATTTTTTGGTTTGGCTCTTGAATCAAATTGTTTGAGTACAGTTTGGCTTCACGGATAGAGTCATTCAATGCCAGTATGTCCAGTGTCTTGTGCGCGCCTCAATGCCACGAGTCCTGATTGTGACATACTATACAATCTTCGCTCTGTTCGCTTTGTTTACCTCTTTAACAAATACCTTTACCTGTTTAACAAATAACAATGTTCAATGAAATTGGAAAACTCAGAATTAGTCATACTACAGACAGAATTTTCATCGTTTTTAAACTGTTTTATTAAAGTTTCGTTAGAATGTACGAATTAAATCTCGGGGAAAACCCCGGGCCCTGGCCGAAAGAAATCAGAAATGTATACTCGCTGTGATGTCAAATGTCAATATTTCGTTAGTTTCGCTCAGTATAGTTTTCTAGCAAATGAATTGTCTCTAGGTTTAGAAACAATTATCAATGAAACTAGAATTCAAGTAAGTCACGGTTCTGTATAAAAAATCAACTTTTTCAGGCCGACCCTGGATCACTTTGCTCAAGGCTATGCTTCAAGAATTTATATTATTTCTTATTGTATATAAATATGCGAATATTTTGATATAATACAAAACAATTCAGCGCAAACAGCTGTAACCGATTTGAACGTCTCAGTTATTTAATCAATGTTATTCCTTTTTTCAGTAACAATTAGAAAGGTTCTGAAAATTAGAATTAATTTATATTCTTCTTTCCGACAAGCTTTAATAAAAGGTGACAAATTTGCAAGTGATAACTAATGTCATTCTTACACGCCCGCAACTTCGAAGAACAGTCTACTGTGTCTCGGAATTTTCCACACTCAGAAGTAGAAAAGGAACATTTCTACATTATTGCTTACCGTCATTCTCATCTGTCAACATAAAATCTACTGTCGGTTGAAATCGTTTAGGTTTACCTAACGTTGCGTGATCACAAATTGCGGCTGTAGTAGAAGTAGAACACCATTATTGTAAACACAAAAACCTCGTGCAATACTGTCTAAGACCACTATTTAATTCAATACAAAGAAAGGGAAATCAGAGAGCAACGAAACAGTTCATCGTCATTTGATTGACATGTTTACGCTCAGCGAGTACATTTCTTTCGGTTAGGAGTTTTCCCCGAGATTAATTCGTACATTTATAAAACGAAACTTTATAGAACAGTTTAAGGTAAACAAACCAATGAAAATTATGTCTGTAGTATGACTAATTCTGAATTTTCTAATTTCTTTGAGACATTTAATTTACAGGAGGTAAACAAAGCGAACAGAGCGAAGTTCGTATGTCACAATCAGGACTCATGGCATTGAGGCGCGCAGAATTCGAACACACTGGACACACTGGCATTGAATGACTATCCTTGAAGCCAAACTGTACAGTCAAACAATTTCATTCGAGTGCAAAACCAAAGAATAATGATGAAAGACATATATTTACATAATCAAGCTTCATTCAGTGTAGTGTAAGGTGGTTTTATTTGTTGATATCAAGAATTATGTTTACCGATAAAGTATGCTCGATTTCGACACATTTTCAAATTTTACAAAGTTTGCGCGCTTGTCATTTTTGTCAAATGGTAGAGCAGAAAGATATTATTGGCGATTTGTGTTGACTAATCAATCAAGTGCCACGATTTTGAAATAAGCTTTCGAAGTTGACATATTTTGAGACGATATCCTTTATCCGTTCAGGAGGGTCAATAACTGCGCTGTTTTCTATTTTATACCAAAGAATAATGATCTAAGTCATATCACCCGCGAAAATAGAAGGATAAGTCTATATTTCTGAGCAAAAATTTTGAAATTTAGGTATGAATTTGATTTAAAAAATAGCGCTGAAAATATGTCGATATTTGGCCTTCATTCGGAGTATCAAGTTGGTTACCAGTCGATCGAACATCAATCGCCCCCAAAAATATTTTTTAGGAAATTTGAGTAAAATGACATCGATTTTAGTTGTTCCCAAGGATAGATCTTCAAAATACTAGAGTATGAGAGAAATCTATTTTTGAGCCCCATACTCACCTGGAGGTTTTTACGGAGACAGCCTCTTAATACCCTGTTTCCCCCAAACGGTTTTTTAAGCATTCTTTTTGAAGTGTGTATAATAATAATAATATTATTTTAATTTATATACAGTTCCAATACAGTTCTCCATGTTTTCAATAACAGTATAGATTCACTAGTTTTGTGATTAGGGCAAAATGAAATGTAGATCTCATGCACTGTCGTCTGCATAGCAGTGAACATTTGGAAGATGTTTTTTTAATAATTTCTGATAACTTGCTATTGTAGATCGTAAATAGCAATGGCCCTAAGCAAGATCCCTGTGGTACACCATGTTCGATGTCAAACCTTTTTGGACGTGTTTCATTAATTATTACAAATCGAGTTCTTCCCGATAGATACGAGGGTAACCACAGCAGAACTTTGTCCTGAACACCAATTAGTGTTTAGAACGATAACCTAATTGCTAATTCAAAAGAGTCAAAATGATGGTAAAGGGGCCATTTTTTGTCATTTTGACCCCAGAAGGCCAGAACGACCCTTTTCCCGTCGTTTTCACTTTGAATTTACAGTGCATATCAGTACCAGTGCAAGTTTCTGTTTTTCTCGTTAGGCGGGTGCATCTCAAGTCATGTTCACCAATCCGATCGAAATCGTAAAAATCCGTCTGCAAGTGGCGGGCGAGTCAGGTCTGAAAGTCAATGCGGTGAATATCGTCAAAGAACTTGGTCTCAAAGGTCTTTACAAGGTTTGAATCAGGATACTATATAGGATACTGCAGTCTGAACGCTGAATAAACAACCAGTTCGTAATGTCGAATGCGTATCCAAATGCAGCTGAAATTGAATGAATATGAAAATATCAAAACTGGATGTACTCAATTGTTCAATGGGACTGAACTGCAATGCGACTTGAATATGCAGAAATTGCTCGAAGTACGGCGCAGAACGCGTCATGGGATGCGCAGTTGACACTATAAACTGGTATATATAGATTAAGAGTTCATTTAAAGATTCCTTTATTTATACAGAATACTTTCTTTTTAATGAAGGGAGCAAGAGCTTGTTTTCTTCGAGACATTCCGTTTTCCGCAATCTACTTTCCAGTGTACGCCCACTTGAAGTCAAGTTTCTCTGATGAAAATGGCTTTACCAAGTGGTACAATCTCCTTGCTGCAGCCGCAATTGCTGGTAATTTTTGTCTACTTGGTAGTTCCAATTTTACCATATTTTGGAGTTTATAGTAGAGCATGGTGTACACTTTTTTTTTGTAATAAACGGTTTTAAAATATTGAACAAGGACACAAGAAACACAAGTAGGAGATACAGTTAGAGCGCGCTTTCCCGTACTGCTGAGGTAAAGTTTGCCACTTCATTTCAAAGATGGGTGGCTACTACGCACAGACTTGATATGTTTGAAAACTCATTTTATTAAATGGTCCCCTCCGGTTTTCCTTCCTCACCAAAAACTAAACCTTTCGTCTTAGTTATGCTCCATGATATGACATGGGTCATATGGGTGGCAACTAGAGGCGATCTAGTATCAGCCCTCGATACGATCACGTTTGGTTGACAGTATAGGTTCCTAGGTTCCTTACAATTCAGTACACAGCTTTCTCCCTAAATTTACACTGTAAACATTTAATATATTTTAGTGTATAGAGAATCTTTGCAGAGCGGAGTAATATTGTAATCGTGTTTATTACATAGGCTGTCCAGCTGCATTCTTTTGTACACCGTTTGATGTAGTAAAGACTCGTCTTCAGGTCAGTAACGTCTTTCTGTAACTCCTGGTAATAATCCACGGTTCGCACTCCAAATGAATTCGCAGTTTTTAGCAATTTCGTTATTTTTGAACTTTTATCATCAGGTAAAAGCACGTCAAGGGCAAGAATCATACCGCGGTGTTATCGATGCCGCGTCGAAAATTTGGAGGCAAGAAGGAGGTCGAGCTTTCTGGAAAGGAGGACCAGGTACGTACTGTATGGTGGTCAGCTTGAAAGGTTCTGATTCACTATTATCAACAAATTAAGTCATTTTATAAATCGACCCTAAAATTAACAATAAACTAACGAACAAACATTGAATCTGAAAATTAAACAACAACGGCGGCGACAACAACAACAGCAGCAGCAGCAGCAGCAGCAGCAACAACAACAACAACAACAACAACAACAACAACAACAGCAACAACAACAACAACAACAACAACAGCAACAGCAACAGCAACAGCAACAGCAACAACAACAACAACAACAACAACAACAACAACAACAAGTAGTGAGAAAACAGTTTATAGAATATATAGATAAACACTTCCATTATAATTACTGTACTGTATATTATTAAGAAGATGGTATACTTAATTTTGGTACCAGTTATTAGATACATTTCTTTCATAATTTTTCAGCTCGAGTTTTCCGTTCCTCTCCTCAATTTGGAGTTACTTTGTTGACGTACGAAATAATTCAGCGACATTTCTACTTCGATTTTGGCGGGTAAGATAGTTTTGTTACTTTGGACGAGAAAATCTATTGGAAGCTATTCAATTTGCCAGGATCCCATTGTCAGCATCGATTTCAAACTTTTGTTTCGTGCGCAGTCAAGGAAGCTAAGCAAGCGTCCATAGGATCACAATTTTGTCTCCATTTCAAGCTAATGTTTCGTGTACAGTCAAGCTGATTTTGCAAGTGTCTATATTAAAGCCGGTTTTCCAATAGGCGCAATCTTGCGCGCGGAGTGGAATTTTTCTTTGTCTTTTCTAATTAGTTCCATCCGAGAAATCACAAGAGAAAAATTCCGCTCCGAGCGCAAAATTCCACGTACTGGAAAATCGGCCTACAGGTATGCTGTATACACCATTTTGTTTTTGACATTTAGTGCTCCTAAAACGGAAATGAAGCCAGTCAATCCTGACATATCACTTCATGCAGACCATATTGGTGGATTACGTTTAGCTGTTGCGTCATTCGCTGGAATAGAAACTAAATTTGGACTATGTCTTCCTGTTTTTCAATCTCCGAGTGATAGAGCTAAGAAATAATATAGAATTTCATACTCCTGTTAAATATATATAGAATGAAATCATATCAAAGAATTCTTAACTACCAAGCACCATTTAATAGAAATTAATTTGCAGTATGATTTCTTGTTTTTTAACCTCCAAGTAATAAGATCGTTCAGTCTAAGAAGTACTACAATTTCATGCTCTTGCTAATTGGAATATTTCCAGAAATCATCTTTGCGAATTCTGAACCAACGTTTGTATATTAAAGCATGCATTTTTATAGAGCTCATGCAGTGATTCAGAATTCATTTTTTTCTCTTCAATTCTCTTCTGCCCTTTTACAGTATATTATTATCATCACAGTATGTTAAATCATATGGAATTGAAAATAAATTTATTTTGTATATCTTATAATTTATGGAAATTGTCTTATTTCAGCTATTGGAATAATTATAATAAAATGATGTAATGGGATTGAATGGTACACTATACAGATTTTAACGAAAAACGAGAACATCGTTCAGTTGCATGTCCAGTTCTATACCCGCACGTTCATGTATATATACTAAGGTGATGGCAATCTAAGGTGTATAGGTAGATGTCAGGATTTTGAGCATCTCACGTGATAAAACCAATTGTAGAAGGGTTTTGTAGATGGAAATTTTGTGCTTATAAAACTATAAAACCCTTTTACTGTAAAGAATACCATTTTAATATTGTATTTTCAAAAAAATATTTTCTTCCAAGATGAAAGCAAATTTTATTCGGGCCCATGCGGAGCCCCTACAAGCCATCCGAAAATTGCAAAATTTCAGCTTAGATTACTCTCCTATCTTTCTCATTGTTTTTAGGATTTATTCACCCAAATCGCTAAAAGCACTATTTAGTAGCGATGTCAATTTCACAACATATTTCCCTACAAAAACTACTATATTTTCCCAACATGAAGTATTTGAAGATGTTGTCATGGTAACAAGATAATTTTAGTAAGAATATTTTTAAAATAAAAAAACCCTTGAAAATAGGTCTTGAAAATACATTAGAAGCAAACACTCTTCTTTCAGAAACGGATATTTTAAGATAACTTCTTTTCAAGGTTTTTTTATCAGTATATATGCTTTGACAGTTGAGAAATCACTCTGAAACAACAAAAGACGTTCATGGCATACGTTTCGCGTGTCATAAGTTAATAAAGTTGTAGCATTCCCATGCACATTCCCCATTCCCTATTTAATTTAAAGACTAGCCTTTACTCATTTGTATTCGTCTATTACTCGTCTGTTACTCGTGACTGTGTAGTTGTCTGTTACCTTCTGTTCTCGTCTGTCACTCGGCCTCGGGGGTAGCTTTAGAATAGATCATTTATGTATTCAAGCAAGCAAAGGCTGCAAAGCCATCGAGAGCAATTTCTGACATTAATTTTCATGTCAAACTTGACCTGTAAAAACTATGAATAATCTTTTTTTCTTCGTTACGAAAGCAAAAATAAGTGCTCATTGCAAACTTAGAGTGCAGGAGAAGTAAATTTTCAAGTTGTCCTATTCGTGCCGATTAATATTTAATACGCACACTGTGCGTATTAATGTTTTATCGGCACGGTTTTTAACCAATCAGAATCGAGTAAATTGACTAAACGTTATCTTGCCAGAAATAAATTAACTTACCAAACTTGCACTGTCACACGAACTGGGCGAAGATTAATCCAATAGTTGTTTCATTATATCGAACAAAACGTTCAATTATATTAATACAAAAAGTTGTTTTTCTAAGTAACAGACAATCGAGAGAAATTCTTCCCGATCGCCTCATGATCACATAAACGTAGTAAAAATTCTACTCATATATTCATATAACATGTTGTTTGTTATACCCGTAACCATACAAATATATTCATATATACAGCCATCAAAACGCACTTAACATGCAGGTGCATTGCGCTAAATGTGTTTACTAAAAATACACCAAAACATACGCAACATAAATGTCAGTGACGCTGTTTAAAAAAGCCGACACATTGATATGTACTGAGCAGGCATAGCACACGACATATTTGTCACTGCATATAAACATACCTTGCGTGGTCAAGTTAAGGACTTTGTATATTTAAAGGTAAGTCTTACTTTGACTATTTCGTGTTCAATTGTAAATAACAGAATTTAATTTTCAATTTAATTCTAATGTGACATTGCTGAGGACGACAGAAAATTCTATCCGTGCGATTCGAACTATAGCATCTTCGGCTTCTAGACATGCTGTCTACCCTTTAATTAAACAACATTTTAACATTTCTGATGATAATTAACGGGTTAACGTTTAATCGATGGAGGTTTCGGTGGCGCAGTTGTCAGAACAAGCGCCTTTCACCTCAGAGATCGTGGTTCGATTCTCGCTACGGACTCAACCGGCTCTGCCGAACGTTGTGGGTTTTCTCCGGACGCTCCGGTTTCCTCTCACAGGGAAAGTTGACAGGGTGGGTTAGGATAAACACAGTTAAGAAAGTATAATCACATGTACAATTGTTGTAAAGATAAATAATCTAGGCCGCAGTAGGTGACATATTAAGTAAGCGACTATACTATAAGCGTAATACTTATATGTGATCATTAACTCATGAAAAGCCCCAATGAGGATTAGCTGAATAATAATGTAATGCGTATAGTATATTATACCTTTTATAGCAATGCGCCTTAAGGCCAAGTCAACGCTTCCTTATATTTAGAAGATAAAATGTATAGTAGAATAAAATTAAAATATTAATATTTGTATTTTCGAAAATTTCCCAGTGGCAACCTTATCTTCCTTCTTTGTTGTGTTATATTGTTATACAGACAATTAAATTTTTATTATAGAGAAAATTGTTAGGCGCGTTTATCAGTTAACCAACCTATCTGCCTATTCTTTTGTTGACCTATTAAGAAGCAATGCGCCCCAATACCTTATACTTTACTTCATATGCAAACTGCAGCTCCCTGGCGCGATTTAACTTATCAAGGACAAGAGAAAAGTGTTGGGCGCGTCATATGAGTTAACTGATGCCCATGCACGTCTTTAGTTTACTGGCCGTTCACAACAGCTGCAAAGCGAGACAGATACAATTAACTACCTGAAAAATATAAGCAGAAGCAACATTTCCAGCGAAGGCCCTCCGTTCACACTTTAGATCGATCCGAAATCGATTCGGAGCCGTCCCGCAATTTGGAAGAGGATCGTATCGGTTCAGAGGTATCGGTTAGTCATATCGCTTTAATTCGATTAGATCGGTCCCATGCATTGACCCCAAACACGCCATGCATAATGAAGTTTACTTTATTAATTTACTTTGTGGCCATGCATGGAGTTCAGCGGAGTAAAACTTCAGTCTAAAATTTTCCCGTTGTGTCAGAGAGTGCAGAGTATACTACTCTTCGGTATTAAAATACACACATATTTAAACCAGGAAATTTTTAACAGAAATCTTCGCAGGAAATTGTTTTATACATCTTGCAGGAAATCTTTGTCATTTTATACACTGAAATGCCTATAAATTTTACTTACTGTTTACAAAACGGCGTTTTGAAAGTCGATATTATTGAAGTTTATCAAAATGTGCGGCCCCATACGTTCTCTAAAACCATACATAATACTATTATGCAGCATTTTTTTAATTTTCGGAATTTGCTAGAAATATAGTGCATGATACTTTCAAACCTTGAATGTGCGTGTTAATGAAGGAGATGGCGATTAAAAATTAATGCATGACAGCGTCTTTTTTATTCTAAGACATTTAGTCTAAGTTTTAGTTTTGGGTAAAAAGTGCAAATTCCTAGCCCACACTTCTCATCTCTGATCTCTGATGTCTGATACGTTAATTAATTAAACAATTTTCTTCATTATAGGCAGCTGTTCGGGAGAACTCTTATCATCATATAGAGCCTGTTTATATGAGCTGCATGGCCCGTTAAACCGGGCTAGCTCACGTTGCCGGGCCAAGTTGTTACTTGTTTCACACATGCATGCATGAGGCGGGCTATCCCGCGGCAAGGGCTACAAAAATTTGGCAGGATATAACGCGATATTCTTGTTAATTTTGAAAACTGCTGTTTTTATTGACGAGAACTGCTTCAGAAGTTTTAGTATTGTTGATCTCTTACTTGTTTTGAATTCTTAGATGTTTTCTATAGATAGCCCTGTCTAAAGCATGCGTTGTGAGTTCATATGAAGACAGGGCCAATCCGGTTCTCATGTTAATCAAATCTCAAAACATATAAAAACAATATACGAGGCGAGATATCACCAACCTCGTTCCCAGGCTACAAGAGCAAAGAGCCTGGGAACGAGGTTGAGATATCACAACTTGCGAGTCAGCCCGGCTCATATGAACAAGCCCTCAGTTTAATTTATTCATAATTGTAAACAATTTTACTATATGAGTCAATAGTTAACTGTGGTTCAACGGACCGATCCGTATAATGACTTCCCCAAAACACTGAGGTTTATACATGGAAACTGAAAACTACTAAAGTTCACCTGGGCTTAGCCTGTCCAGAAGCGTCTGCTTTGCAGGCTAACTTAGGCTTCAATGAGGACGTCTTAAGTCCTGTTCAAACGAGGCCAACATGTTGGTCTAAGATCGTTTTGTTTAAAATTTTCGTCCAACACATTGTCCAACATTTTTGAACCAACAATGTTGTACGATGATCGACTCGCTGAAACGGAACTTTACTGTAAAATACGACATTGTTTTTTTGTATTCGGAGGACGCTGACCTCCTCAGCAGTCCACATATATCTCATAGATTGCGTGGATGATGAATTGCACGTACGCTAGGGAAAATTTGGAGAAAGGCGAAGAAAAAGTGGAGGAAGGAGATTTAGTTTTTGTGACAGTTTTGTTTATATTTACCTTAGATGCAAGAGAGAAACTCCAAAAGAACAAACCCTGGTCTCGCGCTTCAATTTAAGACATTGAAGTTTCTCTGTCTGATTGCATGTCTGATAATGAAGATTAAGGAATTGCAATCCTATGAAATTTACACAACAGAAAGTGTAACAAACTTCTGTTACAATTCCTCCCTTGAAGGTTCGTATATATATTATACCTGGAAAAAGTGTTAGATTTTTGCTATGGTTTGTTGGAGGGACATCTTTATTTCTGAAACTGGGTTCAATCCCTGCAATCTTGTCCGATTAGAATTTTGCCTGAATCAAATGGGAGAAATTGCTTTCAGTTTGATTCTAACACAAGCAGCCCACACTCTGCGTGTAGACCAGTATCCAACCTTTGCCTGCGCCAGCCATATAACCCCCCTTGAAGGAAGAGCCTAAGCTAAGAACAACTAAGAACAGACAGATCTATTTTTTCGACTATTTTATTAGCCTGAACTAAGAACAACTAAGAACCACT